TTTTTTTTTTGGTACCGGGGATCAACTCGGGTCCTTGCGCTTACGTAGCAGGCGGCGAAACCACTGAGCTAAATCCCCAGCTGAATTCACAACTTTTAAAGCATCAACAAAATGCCACAAGTGGACAATTGTGCACTCAACTTCATATGTGAGTCACAGTCAAAATGCAGATACACGGGCTGGGGACTTAGCTCAGTGGTTCCGCCGCTTGTCTCAAAAGCACAAGGTCCCGAGTTCAATCCCTGCTACAAAAAATAAATATAAATAAATAAATAAAAAGAGATAAGGAAATCATAACTAAAAAATTATACTTAAAAAAACCCCAAAATGCAGATACGCTAAAAATACTGGAAGAAACTATTGAGGGCGTGTGAATGAGGTACAGGGAACATAAGTGAATTCTGTGCTTGGATTTGGTTCCCATCCAAGATACGAATTTTAATAGGCTTGTGTTTATGTATATACACTACATATATGCATATACTCCAAATTCGAAAAACACCTGAAATCTCAAACACCTTTGGTCCTAAGCATTTCAGATAAGGGCTACTGAATCTGAATATTCTGCCAGCCTCTCTTGCTTATTAGTATGTAAAATCCTAAGGAAAACAGTGAGGCATTTTTCAGTAGAGGAAAGTGGTCACATGTATTTGATTTTTAAGGACTGAGATACACTGTCAGAACTCTTCTGTTTAGATACACCATGGCTAATACTGGGAGTAAGGAAGAAAACTGTTGCCAAAGGTCACCATTAATCTTAGACCCTGTGCCATACATCTCCAATCTTGACAGGAAAAAGAATTTTCCTTTTTTTTTTGTACCGGGGATCAAACTCAGGCCCCTATGCTTTCAAGGCGGGCGGCAGCACCACTGAGCTAAATCCCTGGCTCATTTTGGTTTTTGAGAAAGGGTCTCACCATGTAGTTCAGGCTGGCCTTGAACTCATGGCAATCCTCCTGCCTCAGCCTGCCAAGTGCTGGGGTTACAGGTATGCGCCACCACACCTAGCCAGAATTTTCCAGTTTTTAAAGCCCAGTGACACTCAGATGCTTGCTTGACAGTGTCACTGCTAGAAACCTGTCAGAAGCAGTCAGAGGTGGAGAAGACGTTCCCAAGTTTCCCCATCTGTGAAATAAATCACACACCACAACTGGTATGGAGGAACGCAAGGAGACTAGACCGGTGTTCTGCCAGCAAAGCTGATCAGTAACTTGAGAGACGCGGTGTCTCTGGCTGAATAGCACAACTCCAGGCAATGTCCTTGGGGTTTCTGTACATCTCATCTAATCAGACGCTGAATATACTGACTGGAGTCTTCTGCCCTCAGGCTTCATTAGGGAAGTCAGCCTATGAAAGCATTTCTCAGAGTAAAAATTCCTCCTGAGAAAGACTGACAACCATGAAATGTGTCAAGCTTTTTTTTTT